CCAAGCAACGTGACCAGTCTTAATGGTGACGATATATGGATAGGTTCTTGGGGTTTGGGGTAGGGGTCAGGTTCTTACCATCTTTGCGATCAAGGAGCTCCATATGAGGAGGGGAAGTAGTTTTGAGAGGGGCTTATGTGGAGTAGTGGTCAACGCTCTAAAGCGAACTAGATCCTCAAGGTTGAGCACAGACCTACCGGGTTGGAGACGAGGCAAAAGGCAGATGTCAAAGGAAAAGAAATAGAAAATAAAAATGAAGCAGAAGCAGAAGCAGAAGCAGAAGCAGAACAAGAGAGAAACAAGGGTACATTCCACAATTTGTCCCATTCGCCCATCTCACGCCACTGGGACGGCTACAACAGTCACACAATGATCTCAGAGCACAATTGCTTAATTCGTACAGTATACAGTGGTATAACTAAAAAAAAAATACATGAATTCTCATTAGATTATGTAAATACGCCTAATTCTAGTCATCTTCGTCATCACTCCCAAAAATAGCCTTGAAAACTGCATCGCCGGGCCGCTCTGCCTCCAGGGCATCATTGCGCTCAGGTTCAACTACCGGGGGTGGCGCCGCTATAGCAGGCTGGCCACTTGCAGATGGATCAAGACCATCTGCCGTAGGGAGATAACCTAACGAGTCTATGAGAAGTTGGTTCATGATATCCTGCGACACTAATGGTTTGGGGCCAGTGCCAGCTTGGAATCCAGCGGACTGGAAGCGCGTGCCCGGCCCGGAACTGGAGGCTCCAGGCCGTTCGCCGGGGTCAATTTGCACATTCTCAGGTGGTTTGACGTTGAATCGCTTGCATAGAAGACGATTTGGGTAGAAGGGAATCGTGCTTCGGGTCATTGGGCCGAACATGCCAATTTTGGCAGCCGCTACTGCAGGGTCGTCTGGCTTTTCAGCGGGTCTGCTGAGCCCAGATTCTGCAGAGTCAGGGGAATCCGATACAACCTTGGGTGCGGTGGAAGACGAGGTAAATCGGGAGGCCATAACTCCGGACATGGGTTTGAAGACCTCGGCAGCTCGACCAAATTCTTGCATCTCCATAACCCATTCATCGGTGCTGGAACCTTCCACTCGTTCTGGTAGGGTAGAGCGTGTCCCAGCACTAACTTCGAGGAATATTTGGTAGCGTGCACGCTTTTTCTCATCTTCTTGGTAAGGCATCCACCCACTAACGGCCCGAGTTAGGGCTTGGGCGGCAATCTGTTTGTCGAGTTTTGGCACGAGGTCCCAAAGATCCTTGCGCCTTTGTGATTCAGGGAGTTGGTATCCTTCGGGTGCCTTTTCTCCTAAAGCCGGAGGTAAATTGGCGTTGCCGGTAAGTTTAGCAATCTTATCTCGTGCCTCAGGAGTCATGTAATCAAAGATAGACTTTCCAGGGAGCTGGGCCTCGCCTAGAAGTGCTGCTCTAGATGTGGGATTAAGCGAGGAGGCTTTTGCGGCGTCAGCTGTAGAGACATAATTCGATTGATCCCGTTTTTCTGACGAGATTTCCTTCGCTGGTTTCCAGTCCTCAGGTATCGCAGGAGGATCATATTTCTTCTCTGAAATCGACAGCCCCGTGATGGCATCGGCAAGAATGAATCCATTTAGCGGTAGGCGCCCGTCGCGGCACTTTCGGAAACCTCCAATCCCGCGTGATGCCGTCACCTTCTTCGATATGAACACGGGCTTTGAATTCAAGAGTGGGTTGGATGACGCGATTGTTGGTTCTGGTTTGCCCTTTTTCTTCTTCTTTTTATCCCCTCCAATGGTCTTGTTGTATGATATTTGTGGACCTAGAGAATAAGGATCCTCGTCGTCCGACCCCGTGTCATTCAGCGGGCCAACCCCGAGTCCTCCCCGCCGAGATTCCTTCGGCTTTGGGGGTTGGCCTTTCCCTTGGATAGCCAACCGGCCCCCAAAGAACGAATCTGAATCCTCGACATCTGGGATGGGCTGCAAAGCATTGTGAGACTCTAGGCGCGATTCACCCTCGAACCCAAGACCTTTGCGGTCGGTCTTGCGAATGAAAGCAACCATGGGTGGGTTTTCAGGAGCAAAAAGGTATGTTTCTCCCACACCGCCACCCGGAGCAGAGCTGTCATTCAGATTGGCTTTGCGTCGCACCTTAGGCCCGATTCCTTGACCTTCGCGCCAACCCATCTTTTTCAAGAGCTTCACTCCCATGGTTTCTCCGCCCGTTTTCAATATATCCATGAGTCCTGCTCTGCGTGTAGCATCTAGCTCCGTCGAGCCGAAACCGGCGAATTCATCGGCGGTCTGTAATTGTCTGGCTTCTTCCTGCTCTCGCAGGTCATCCGCGTCCATGAAATCCTCGGGCCGTTTCTGTTCGACCTTCTGGGCACGGTTCTGACGCGATGAAACAAATGTCGCAGGGGTCCATCCTTCTTTCGAGCCGACGGAGTTGAAGTATCTGGCAGACGTTAGTGGTTGTCCTTCCAAAGGTCATTGGGTTCAGAGCTACTCACCCCGCGCTGAATCCACCGGTGAAAGCGCCATGAAGACGTTTGCTCCCATGTTCGTCCCTCAGTTCTTGTTTCCATAGTGGCACAAAGGAGCCATCATCGCGAACACTTTCATCAAGTGGTGGTAACGGGGTTCCATAGAAGGCGTATGGGGATTGCTCTGCTTGAAGGTCGGCCTCGAGCGCGGCGCGAGTACGTTTTAGGGCCATATTTTTCGAATGGGACAGTCACCCATTGAGGAGTTGTTGATCACGTCATCTGCATGGGAGAAATTGTGCGTGCTGAAAAAAAGTTACAATGAAGGCGTGTTAGAGTCGCATTGACAGCTATTAGCTGCGGGTTTTTTTATGCCTGAGGCCTGGGGGCTTGGCTTACATAAGAGCTGAGTCAGGAATGTCTCTCCAGCTCGTGAAGCTTGGAACAATAACCCTAATATTTAGTCTGGTGCCGATCAATCTTGAAGTCCTTGATCCATTCTCTAATTTGTAAAAGATGTGAAATAAATGTGAAATAAATATGAAATAAAAAATAATTGGTTCAAAATATGTACAGACTACGTACATACGTACCTGTATGTACCAGATTTTAGGCCGCGGATGCGGATTTCCCGTCGGGGTGCCGCCGCTTTATGAGGGGGCTCAAGGTCATACTCACTGAGTGCTCACTGAGTCGTTAACTAGTTAGTGACTCTGATAGCGCTTGGTAAGCGTATAGCCTTGCTCACTTTACAACCTGGAACAATTTCAACCACGTGATATGTGTATTATTTATTAGCTATCTGTTCTGTGATGGTAGCGTCAGCAACTAAAAATCTACCTAATTATTGATCATCCTGTTTTTTAATGGCCCCTATCCTCAGCAAAGTTATTCACTCATATCGCCTCTGAGAAATGATGACGTGTGAAACTAAATGATACACGCTCATCAGTGTCAGTAACCTTGGCAATGTGCTTAACAGCCAAGGGAAATATGATGAGGCGGAAGCTATATATCGACGGGTGGTAGCAGCAGAAGAAGAGGTCCATAGGTGCTAGCATCCCGAAACAATGGCTAGTCTCGATATTTTTACACTTTCTAGATCAACACGGAAAAGTGAAGAGGCTTCACAATCCCAGTTCTGTATCTATAGTATTTAGTATAAATACAGCGGACATGGAGATATAACAACCATACTTGGTAATGTGCAGCACTGTATACCCTTATCATTTGATGCGGTCCCGAAATAGCCCCCATCCCAGTGACATGAAATGCCCTATGTGATGAAACGCCCGCCAGGTACCTGCACATTCGAGCAGCACCACTCCTGATCCACATGTTGATTGCTGTCTGAAAACAGTCGAAGCAACAGTTGTTTGACCTTTTGTATCACGGTGCTTTTGAAACAAAGGAAATGATTTGTTCAGTTGCTGAATTACAGGACGTCATGTACTACTAGGAAATCCGTTGTCCACTACTTTGACGCCAAGATCTCCCACCAAGACATCAGAGATGAGTAGGAAAAGCAATATTGCATGTTCTGGCCTTTCCTGTCGCGGTCGTTAAATGTGAGCTACGAAAATGTTGATCTGAGCGAAATTCTTAGCAGCGAAGAGGTACCAAAATTAATAAATTTGTTTAGGAAAATACACGGAAAGATGAAAATGATGCAACTTGGTGTATGACAATTACGACTGTCGCTCAACATGGCAGCTGCCCCACAGCCCCGTCTGTAAATATCACGAAGCGCTATATAGAAATGAGGCGACATGTTACCCGGCCTTTTGACCGGTGAAAATATGTGTTTAATGCCTGGCCCATGAGGCCAAAAATGGGCGATAACTAGGACCAGACAGCTAGCTAACTCTCTCTTCTTCTTACTTGTTTTTTTCTCTGTCTTTGGACTTCGCCCACAATACAACACAATGTTTCTCCATATCTTCCCAGCGTAGCCTTCCCAACACCATAGGACCAGAAACCCTTGGAAGTATGCATTTGCTTAGTTTGTAAATTTCTGATTTAATGGTTTAATATGATTATTTCGGAGGCCTTGTACTTAATATAGAGGAATCATGAATGTAGTATAATACTGTTAGCGTTTTAAGCCTAGGCCATCCCCTCAAGGGAGCCGTCCGCATGATGTTGTCCTAGACGGCCTACTCCCTGATACTGAAGTATTTTTGGACAGAATCTGAAACTGTTATCTTAGAGGATCCGAGAATTGATTGGTGCGGATGCTGCGCTCCGGGATGCCAGCTATTCCAATTTCTAGAGCAAGAGAGCATGAGAGTATATTATCTATATTATCATTGACGATAACAACATTTTATAAATTATTCCCGAGTATAAATCTGTCCATGTTGTTAGAGTCTACTAGGTAGATTAGATCATGAAACAGCATAATGTAATGTATTGTGGGTGACGATAGTTGTACAGGAGAAAAGGTAGGAACTAGCTACTACAAATGTAGGGACACATCATGTGACTAATGAGAGATCTCAACACATGTATATATATTGTACAACATACTAGGGAATACTGTGTCAGCCGCGCTCTTGCTCCCAAGTAATATTAACATCCACCGTCTTTGCGATTCCATCCCGCCCTGGCTCCGCCCCATCGTCACTTTCATTGGCATTGACAGAAGTCCTAGTAGTCCCCATCTCAATTTCCTCCCCATGTGCACCCGAGAAGAAATTCTGCCTACTCCCAGAGGCCTCGTGATTCGTGTGTACGCGATTCGTCGTGCGTTGTTGGCTTGCTGTTCTCTTCCTGTACGATGAAGTGAAAGGCAAAGTGCTGGACTTGTCGCTTGCGAAAAACTGGCGCACGGAAGAAACCACTAGCGAACGAAGGCAAGGGACGGAGGCGGAGATAATAACGAGGTAGCATTCGATCATAGCCCAGCAGGTAAGATTAATTCCATTGGCTGCACTAACCCAGGTTAAGATTTGTTTAAGATATACAGTCTTCATTATAGCACCGACTGTTGCGCTATATTCGTTCGTAAGTTAGGGTAGATAAGGGGGTCATTTCAACCATATAAAGGGAGGTACATACAGAAGACCCAAACTTGTGAGTACCATAAGGCTGAACTTGATGATCGGCTTCAACTTAAGATCCCAGAAGATGTAACACGGAAAGACTGCTAGCATCAAATCCGCGGAGGAGTTGCAGACTATAATTTGACATCATTAGTTAGAAACCCCAAGTTTTTGTTCTGCCTAGCTGCGACTAAGCCTTTAGTAGTGGATGGACATACCGCAGAGAAAGTAACCAAAATAGAGCTGGATAGTGTCTTCCATGCAGTCCGTAGCGTACTCGGCATTCCAAACCCCACGGATATCGCGGCATTGAGCTAAAACGAGAACAATCATCACAATATTTGCCGCTATTTGCACCGCGAGCAGTACCCATAGACTGATCTTAAAGACTTTCCTTATTGAAAGAACTGGCAAAAGGTAGAGGATAAATGCAACCCGGCCTAGGCAGGTACTTGCGATGCTGCAGACCTCCATTATTATATTAAACTTGAAAGCAGCGGACTCATCGACCCCGGAACGACCAGATGCGAATCCGTGGTCAATAATTGAGATTGTGAAGAGTATCGATGCGGCGAGGGCGAAACACTGCAATAAACATATCATAAGTTAGAATAGATGGAACTTGTATGATCATCCCCCCCTTCCCCCAGCCCCCGTTTATTAACATGAACTTACCAGAGCTGCAATCATTACAGCATCGTCTGTTCCGAGATGGCGAAGCCTAATTTTCGCAAATACCCGGAGCACCACCACGACGATTGCAATGGCCCCAAGAGCCCATGTGCCCTCTAAGACTGACATCCGATTACTAGTGGGAGCAGCCATCATGAGAGGTGTCATAGATCGGTGACCATTGCATCCCCCTAAAAGCAAAGGAATTTGATAGCCGTGAAGTCGACACGGTATATATAGCAAAGCAAGAAAAATCCAACGAAGGTCTGGGTTCCGGACTCGTTATCAATATTTCACAGTGTCGATCGTAAAATCAACTAACGAGGCTCCTAACAATCTGGACCAGACACACTAGTTTTCTCCTTAAACGTTGAAGGGTCATTTCATTTTATTCCCTGGTTCACAAATGGAATCGCGGCTCTTGGCGGAGCATATATTTTAACTATCGGGCCCGCTTTTTACGTATCTGAGTCATGCCCCGGTTTGAGCTTCGAACAGGCCATTGATATCTCACAAGATATCAGCATGACTGAGTCATGAATGGAGGATTGCCCCATAAGTTGTAGATCTCTACGATAAGGATATAACATATGCCGACGAGACCGGTAGTTCTTAATTGAACAGGAATCCTTCGGCTCAATTCGAAGTAGTAAGGTAGTACGTAATCATCCAGTTTGACTTTTTCTCGGAACAGTCCTAATGCCTGGAAGCTTCTTGGATTTCCCCCCTCCTTCCAAGGTTCCTATCAATATCTCTTGTGCCAGCATATCAAAGCACCAGATCTCCTTGTATCCCGCTTCGTATTGACTCGCCTGTTTCTGGTCAATTCCAAGAGTGGGGCCGAACTTTATCTTGTGCATATTAGCCGTTTTCCCATGTAAGAAATAGAGGTGGACGAATCGGATATCATATCATTAGCCCAGGTGAATTTTAGCCGCTTATCGATACCTTATTTGAACAAACGTGGTGGAAGTCAATTCCCCTTAAGGAAGTTAGTTACGTATATCTTTAGAACGGTCTAGGCTGAAAATGTGTGGAAAACTGTATGGAACAGTGGAGCAACCTTACGAATTCTTGTTCAGCTTTGGTACAAGCGGCGTAGAGCCCAAAACGCAGAATTAGCACTTAGTTAATTCAACCACCCACGATGCCACCAATTCGCTCTTGAAGCTCTCGAAATTCAATAGAGCAAGAGAGTATGATCTTATTAGCTATCCATCCTATCAAAAATGAAGAAATCATTGTTATTTCTGAAGCAGCGCGTCGTTTTAAAGTTCTGAAATCAACTCCGAGGCTTGACAAGTCCCGCCAAGGCGCTAGTTTCAGTTCTGCCTTGGCATATCATGCCGATCACCTTCTTATTTAGGTAATTTTTATTGATTAAATAGGTATGGTCGCCGCACCACAGCGCCAGAGTTTATTTGGTGCTGCGGGGTCGGGACCAAAAATCGGCTGGTGCTGCAGGGCTTGTCAAGGTCTACCTCCACCGTCTAAAGAATATCCCCGCCCGCGCGTTTTCTCGCCCTAATAACTATAAACTGACTGAAATTGAAGAGGAATCTCTTCAAAAATAGATTCTCTCTATAGATTCTCGTAGGTCAGCCCCCCGTCCTTCTACCGTACTAGAAATGGCGAACCATTTGCTTGAAAAGCGCGGAACTCGCCCGGTTATTTCCGACTGCGAAAACTAGGTAACGAACTATCTGAAACGACATCCTCTCCTATCCTCCCGGTTTTCAAAATGGTATAACTACGAGCGTACGAAATGTGAGGATCCGAAAATTATTACGGAGTGGTTTAATCTTGTTGACAGAAAGCTGGTGTACGAACAATGTATGGTATAGATGACCACTGTTGACAACTCTAACTAAAATCACAAAACCCGCTATTCAACAATCTGTGCGGACATCGATGACTAACTGTAATATACACTGTTGTATGGTTGCCTGGTACTCAATGTCACATCATGTTTCCGGTATAATACCTGGTTTCTACCATGTATTCGGACTTGATAACGTTTATAACTTTGATGAGACCGGTTTTCCCATGGGGCTTACGGCAACCGCGAATGTTATTACGAGAAGCGAATACTATGGTCGGCGAGCACTTTTACAACCTGGAAATCGTGACGGCGATCGAGTGTATGAATGCTTCGGGGTGCGTGTTTTTTTAAGGTAAAGTCTTGAATCGACGGCCTCCCGGATGATTGGCGATTTGAGGTTAGTCCTAATGGATGGACCTCTGATGAAATTGGAAATTGCTGGCTTGAAAAGATCTTTATTCCTACTACTTTTTCGCGTACGAAGGGGGGTATCGGCTTTTGATGCTTGACGGCCACGGAAGTCATTTAATTGTGCTCCGTTCCTAAGTAGAAGCATTTCCTGGAACCTATCACAACGCTTTTATTGAAATATATGGACAACTCAGTGGCACAGGTCATGGGCTGCCCAACCCCTCCACAATCGTTTCCCGATTGGATCCACAGCCGACTCGACCGGAAACGATACTTTGATGAAACAACCAATTCCGCAAAGAATTAGTGTCAACAAGAGATCCCACATCATTGAGAAACCATTTGAATGCTCCTAGTGGTAATTAAAGTATAGATCTTAAGTATGAAAGCAGACTAGTAGGACTAGCCGCTTTGGTCGTGCTACTTCTAGCAAGGAAGATAACTAACGAGATAAGACTAACTTTGAGAAATGCTTTATAGATAATAAGAATAGTATCACGGCTCAACCTAATCAGTTCAAAACCTCACTCAATAAAACCTAGCAGAAAACCCCCTATCTAGTGCTCTAAGAACAATCCGATCAAAGCTCGCCTATAATCGCGGGATTAGTTAATAGAGTATTGTTATATAACTAAGATATCGGTTAAAGATATTCCTCTATATAGTTCGTACGGAGTTCGACGCAGAAAATTGGTCTTCGGGGAGGTAGTCCGTAGTATAGAATATATATTATCCTCTAACGCTAATCTAGAGGTTTATACTAGGCACCCGCAATACTATACGGAAATAGAGCGGCAAATTCCTACGGATATAACGACTATACTATACGGTGTTACGTGCCAGGTCGATCAATGAAGAAAGAGTGCATTCCAACGAGAATAACAAAGATAGGGAGAGAGAAAGAGAGAAAGAGAGAGAGAGAGAAAGAGAGAGAGAGCAGGTGGGGAATCTCTGGGTTTAAATAGTAGAGCCTCCCACCTAACAAACATACTCTCTTTTCCGATTAGGACTAGTAGCAATCTGTAGAACAAAAAACAAAGAAAGCATGTATGCATGTATGCATGTGTGATCCCATAACATATGGACACCTATATATATATATATATATATATATATACCACTACAGTTAAATTGAGTTCTAGAACTTATTTTTGGCTATGCCTTTTTGGCTTAATGAGTAAATGCTCGGAGTAGTGGCCGGCTTGTGATCTCACATGTGACAAAGCATGTGATCACATAGATCGTGACAAAAGTATCGTGTTAGGCTTTTACTCTGGCTGAGGGGTTAAAAAGTGGCAGACCTAGAATGAAGTTTGGTAAACTTATAAGGAAACTTTATAAAGCCTTGAGGAGGAATGCTTGAACCTTGGGTATTTTCGCTTAAGGGGGAGGGATCAGTGTTGTTTTATATGTATTGATTATTAGTATTAGTAGCTATAGTTATTGCGAATAGGTACTAGTACTTAAGCTCCTAGGAGCTGTTTTTATCTCACCAATCATATTGTGGTGGCACAAAATGTCTGAGAGATCCTAGGAAGTCCTATTATACTTCATTTAGTTATAGTAAGGTATTTTCTGACTACTATTTAGAATATGCTAGGCAGATAAGGGGCCGTAAATTTCGTTTTAGGCGGCTAGATTATTCAGTGGATATGGTCGATAGGTTTTTTATAGGTGTTTTGGTCGCTAGAACTGATATCGTATTCCTAGGAGCAAGCGGTAGATAGTAAGAGCGATAGTCTATTAAAAATCAAGCGAAAAGAAAAGAATCCGAATTAAACTAGATTATATTTGCAAGCCACTCAAATCAGAGTCTTCTAGGATATTCCTAGATGTTGTTACACCAAACCAAAAATTGAGGTTTGGATATTTCCCGCAACTATATAGAGATAGCATCGTAGATACGAGACTCGACAAGTTAAAAAGTAGTATAGCCGTAGAAAGGAAAACTAATAAATTTAGCCCCACTATGCATTTACCTCCCAGCTAGAGGCGAAACAACCAGGACCGGCCGCCACATTGATAACACCAGACTTTCGTTAAGGGGACAACGGTCAAGATGCTGGGCGAACGACTACATTGGGATGGGGCTAGCGTGGTGCATTTGATTGAGGTGAGCTGCTGACTTAGCTGCTCTCCAACTTTGCTTATGTGATGCTTAGTTTTATCAGTGAGCAAAGAGCGGCAAGGGGTGAGCACTAAAGCGGAAAGGGAAAACCGTCGGTGTCCGAATGAAATTGGACTCGGCCATCTCGGCATCTGCTCGGCCGTCTACGCCGATGGTTCCTGATTGGGCCCACAGGTTGCTTGACCACGTTCCTTGGATCTTTTTTGATCAACCCCCTTGTAAGGAGATCTACAACAACATATTCTATATGATGTTCATAGGTACTGTACTCCGTATTTATTGTTCTAATAGGTCATTTATACTATGTAGTTCTCTCAAATAAAATATTTTATATGTAATTTTAAAAAGACCAGCCAAGAACTCTATTCCAAGTATGGTGTTTGTTTGCCGACCCTTGGCGTCTTGGAGACAGACTTAGTAGACTTTAGGGGCGTTATGGGGACTTTTCTTCTTCTTTTCTTTCCTCTCAACTCCTAGGCGTCTATTACAATCATGTCCTTTTTCATCTCCTTTCCATAGCCTTCGTGCTTGCCCTTGTCAATAATCCCTGCAAGGCCATTGAAATTTAGTGTGCGGCTGGAACCTAGCTCCCGATTTCAGGAACCATTCTCAATGCTCAGCTCATTCCCTCGGAGTCGCAGGCTATTCTACCTACTATTGGCCTGCGCAATAACCTCCACATGCTTCGTCAACCTCCTAATTCTCACCCATGCTGTCGACAACTCTGTGATCCGCCTCCCTAATCTGGGCCTCTTCACCTCAACGAGTCCCGTGTTCGGAGAGTATGCGCAC